GATGTTGGAGGCAGGAACCATACATAGTTTTAAGGCGAGTATGATAGAGCTCATGGGCAGGGAGAGAGAGGACCTAGTAGCAATCAGCGAAGAGGCGGGGCCAGGAGCTGTGACTCGACCCCTGCAACCACAAATAGGTGAGTACACAACATATAGTACACACACACACACACACACACACACACACACACACACACACACACACACACACAACACACACAACACACACACACACACACAGACAAACAGCACACACACACTCACACACACACACACAACACACACACACACAGTCACACACACACACACACACAGGAAGATGTGAAGAGGCACAACGAACTAAGAATACTCAATGTGGAGACAGAAAACTCCGGGGGAGGAAGGGTTCCCCCAACAACTCTACAACTACAAAAACAACCGAGGGGGAAGAGGGCAAATGAACCCCCAATCCTTAAAGGGGCCCGGACAACATTTCCTTTCAAGACCGTGTTCCACTAACAACAATTTCAACAAATCTATCAAAACAGGGCAACCAAACCGAGGTTGGAAGACGGAAAAATGTAGACCCAATCTTTAAAAAAAGGGAACAGGCGGGAGCATTACCCTACAGACCAGTGTCACGACATTTACAGTAGCAAAGTCTGAAGAAGCTTATCGGGGAAAGATGTAGAGCGTCCAGCAGGGTTCAGGGGGGGAAATCCTGTGCCCACAAACCTACGGGAGTTTTATGACTAGTACAAAAGAAAGGGCAAGAGAGAGAGAGGGAGAGAGAGAGAGAGAGGAGAGAGAGAGAGGAGAGAGAGAGAGAGAAGAGAGAAAAGAGAGAGAGAGAGAGAGAGAGAAAGGGGAAGAGAGATGGGGAAAAGCTTTTCTTGGACTGTAAGAAGACTTTCGACACAGTTACGGACAAAAGATTAGTGCAACAGCTAAGGTTTGGAGGAATAACAAGAAAGGGCACTCAAAGATCAAGAAACCTGACAGGGAGGAAACAACGAGTGATGGAAAAGAAGAGGGGGTTTCCACAAAGGGCATTCCTAGGACCGGGCAGTTTTTGTTTACTGAATGACATGACGGGGAAGGGGTAGATTAGAGGTTTTTTTTTCGCAACGATGTGAACTAATGCGGGGAATTTGAGGGATGAGGATCAGGTAGGGCACAAAGGGATCTGGGGCAGTCTGCAGGCCTGGTCCAGACACTACCCTGGAATTTAAAACCCCACCAATACAAAGTCAGAAAACTGGAGAAGGCAAAGAAAACTGCAGACAGAGTACAGGCAGGGGCCAAAACGCAAACCTCACTCAAGGAAAAGAACTTGGGGTGCTTAATACCGACACATCTCCTGAGGCGCACATCACCAAATAACTGCTGCAGCAATGGGGCCGGCCTTTTTTGGGGTAGGGTTCAAGACCACTGTACACTTGTACGTCGGGCCCCTAAATTTGGGGTAACAGAAAACACCCCTTGGCCCCACCTCTAATCCCAAGCACTTCAAGAAATTAGAGAAAGTGCAAAAAGGTTTACAACAAGACTGTCCCAACTAAGGGGTATATCCAAAGAGGACAGGTTAAGGGAAGAACCTGACGACACTGAGGACAGGGGGGGACAGGGGGGGCAGAAACGGCATATAAAATACCGAGAGAAAATTTACAAGGGGGGATAGGGACAGGAAGTTTTTAAAAGATTGGGTACAGCAACAAGGGTTTACAACTGGAAATTGAAAACTCAGATGAAATCCAAAAGGATGGGTTTGTAATTTTTTTTTCATTATAGAGTTTTTCAGAAGTGGAAAAAATCTTGGGAAAATGATGTAGTGGAGGGAGGATCCAAACATGGCTTTTTTGAAGAGGTACGATAATTCTCGTGCAGCAGGGGTTGGGCCTAGTAGTTGGGGCCAAAGAAGAGGCGGGGCAGGAACTGTGAAACGCCCCTGTAACCGCAAATAGGCGAGTACAAAAAGGCAACCATACATACAACACCCCACACACCACACACACACACACACCCCACACAAACACACCCCCCAAAACACAAACAAAAAACACACCACACACACACAACACACACACACACAAAAACACACACACACACCAAAAAACCACACACACACACACACACACACACACACACACACACAAATACACAAAACACACACACCCCCAAAATACACACACACACACACACACACACACACACACACACATACACCCCAAAAAACATACAAAAACTACAAAACACAAAATACACACAAAACAAAACACCCAAACAAAACACACAAAACACAACCCCACACACACAACACACACACACACAACCACACACCACACAAAATACACACCCCAAACACACACACACACACACACACATACACAAAACACACACCCAAACACACACACACCCCCACAAAAACCCCACACACACACACACACCCCACAAACACACCCCAAACAACACACACATACACACACACACAACACACCCCACACACAAAAAACACACACACACACACACACACAAAACACACACACACACCCAACACACACACACCACACAAAACACCCAAAACCCCACACCAACATGTTTTTAAAACACTACCCCAAATGAGAGGGGAGGGTAACCACAAGATTGGACCTTGGGGTTCCCCCCCGGGGGGTTCAGACATTGAGGACATCACTATGAAGGTCCCCTAAAGGGGCTAGCGACCCCCGTGGCCCTGTCGGGGCCAGGACTAAAAAACCACGGGGTTCTGTGCTTTGAATATATAGTAAGAGGGCAAGTGGAGAGAGTAACAGGAGTTGAATGGGAAAAGCCTGACTATAAAAGAGGGGACTACATAGGGTTGAGGAGCTTCCTGCGGGAGATCCCGTGGGACAGAGAACTGGCAGGAAAGCCAGTAAACGAAATGATGGAATATGTAACAACAAAATGCAAGGAGGCAGTGGAAAGGTTTTTTCCCAAGGGCAACAGAAACAACGGGAAGACCAGAACGAGCCCCTGGTTTACCCGACGGTGTAAGGAGGCAAAAACAAAGTGCAATAGAGAATGGAAAAAGTACAGAAGGCAGAGAACACACGAAAATAGGGAGATCAGTCGCAGAGCCAGGAACGAGTACGCACAGGTAAGGAGGGAGGCCCAGCGACAGTATGAAAATGACATAGCATCGAAAATCAAGACTGACCCGAAACTGTTGTATAGCCACATCAGGAGGAAGACAACAGTCAAAGACCAGGTGATCAGATTAAGGAAAGAAGGGGGAGAACTCACATGAAAGGATCAGGAGGTATGTGAGGAGCTAAACAGGAGATTTAAAGAAGTTTTTATAGTAGAGACAGGAAGGGCTGTGGGAAGACAGCACAGAAGGGAACATCAAGAGGGAATATACCAACAAGTGTTGGATGACATACGAACAACCGAGGAGGAGATGAAGAAGCTCCTAAGTGACCTTGATACCTCAAAGGCGATGGGACCGGACATCTCCCCATGGGTTCTTAGAGAAGGAGCAGAGATGCTGTGCGTGCCTCTAACCACAATCTTCAACACATCCCTTGAAACTGGGCAACTACCTGAGAAGTGGGAGACAGCAAATGTAGTCCCCATATTTAAGAAAGGAAACAGAAACGAGGCGCTAAACTACAGACCTGTGTCTCTGACATGTATTGTGTGCAAAGTCATGGAGAAGATTATCAGGAGGAGAGTGGTCGAACACCTAGAACGGAACAAGATTATAAATGAAAACCAGCATGGGTTCATGAAAGGCAAATCTTGTATCATAAACCTCCTGGAGTTTTATGACAAGGTGGCCCGGTGGTCTGGTGGCTAAAGCTCCCGCTTCACACACGGAGGGCCCGGGTTCGATTCCCGGCGGGTGGAAATTCCGACACGTTTCCTTACACCTATTGTCCTGTTCACCTAGCAGCAAATAGGTACCTGGGTGTTAGTCGACTGGTGTGGGTCGCATCCTGGGGGACAAGATTAAGGACCCCAATGGAAATAAGTTAGACAGTCCTCGATGACGCACTGACTTTCTTGGGTTATCCTGGGTGGCTAACCCTCCGGGGTTAAAAATCCGAACGAAATCTTATCTCTTATCTTAACTTAACAGAAGTAAGACACGAGAGAGAGGGGTGGGTTGATTGCATTTTCCTAGACTGCAGGAAGGCCTTTGACACAGTTCCCCACAAGAGATTAGTGCAGAAGCTGGAGGATCAGGCGCATGTAACAGGGAGGGCACTGCAATGGATCAGTGAATGCCTGACAGGGAGGCAGCAACGAGTCATGGTACGTGAAGAGGTATCACAGTGGGCGCCTGTGACGAGCGGGGTCCCACAGGGGTCAGTTCTAGGACCAGTGCTATTTTTGATATATGCAAACGACATGATGGAAGAAATAGACTCTGAAGTGTCTATATTCGCAGATGATGTGAAGTTGATGAGAAGAATTAAATTGGATGAGGATGAGGCAGGACTGCAAAGAGACCTGGACAGGCTGGACATGTGGTCCAGAAACTGGCTTCTCGAATTCAATCCTGCCAAATGCAAAGTCATGAAGATTGAGGAAGGGCAAAGAAGACCGCAGACAGAGTATAGGCTAGGTGGACAAAGACTACAGACCTCACTCAGGAGAAAGACCTTGGGGTACCATAACACCGAGCACGTCACCGGAGGCACACATCAACCAAATAACTGCTGCAGCATACGGCGCCTGGCAAACCTAAAATAGCGTTCCGATAACCTTAATAAGGAATCGTTCATGACACGTACACTGTGTATGTTAGGCCCATACTGGAGTATGCAGCACCAGTCTGGAACCCACAACTGGTCAAGCACGTCAAGAAGTTAGAGAAAGTACAAAGGTTTGCAACAAGGCGAGTCCCAACTCAGGGAAATGTCGTACGAGGAAAGGTTGAGGGAAATCGGACTGACGACACTGGAGGACAGAAGGGTCAGGGAGACATGATAACGACATACAAGATACTGCGGGAATAGACAAGGTGGACAGAGATAGGATGTTCCAGAGAGGGACACAGAAACAAGGGGTCACAACTGGAAGCTGAAGACTCAGACGAGTCACAGGGACGTTAGGAAGTATTTCTTCAGTCATTGAGTCGTCAGGAAGTGGAATAGCCTAGCAAGTAAAGTAGTGGAGGCAGGAACCATACATAGTTTTAAGAAGAGGTATGATAAAGCTCAGGAAGCAGAGAGAGAGAGGACCTAGTAGCAATCAGTGAAGAGGCGGAGCCAGGAGCTGAGTCTCGACCCCTGCAACCACAATTAGGTGAGTACAATTAGGTGAGTAACACACACCACACACACAACACACACACACACACACACACACACACAACACACACACACACACACACCACACACACACACACACACACACACAAACACACACACACACACACACACACACACACACACACACACACACACACACACACACACACACACACACACACACACACACACACACACATGAAAGACCCCTTGGGGCCAGTGACCATGTGGTTTTAAGCTTCGAATACACAGTAGAGCTACAAGTGGAGGGAGAAGCAGGAAGGCCAGGACGAATGAAGCCAAACTACAAGAAAGGGGACTACACAGGAATGAGGAACTACCTGAACGGGGTTCAGTGGGACAGAGAACTGGCAGGGAAGCCAGTTAATGAGATGATGGAATATGTAGCAACAAAATGCAAGGAGGCTGAGGAGAGGTTTGTACCCAAGGGTAACAGGAATAATGAAAAAGCCAGGATGAGCCCATGGTTTACCCAAAGGTGCAGGAGGCAAAAACCAAGTGTGCTAGGGAATGGAAGAAATATAGAAGGCAAAGGACCCAGGAGAATAAGGAGAGCAGTCGTAGAGCCAGAACGAATATGCACAGATAAGAAGGAGGCCCAAAGACAATATGAAAATGACATAGCAGCGAAAGCCAAATCTGACCCGAAACTGTTGTACAGCCACATCAGGAGGAAAACAACAGTCAAGGACCAGGTAATCAGGCTAAGGAAGGAAGGAGGAGAGACAACAAGAAATGACCGTGAAGTATGTGAGGAACTCAACAAGAGATTCAAAGAAGTGTTCACAGAGGAGACAGAAGGGGCTCCAGAAAGACGGAGAGGTGGGGCACACCACCATGTGCTGGACACAGTGCACACAACCGAGGAAGAAGTGAAGAGGCTTCTGAGTGAGCTAGATACCTCAAGGCAATGGGCCAGATAAAATCTCCCCAGGGGTTTTGAAGAGGAGAAAGAGGCGCTAGTGTCCCCCTAACAACAATATTAAATACATCTATCGAAACAGGGAGATTGCCTGGGGCAGGGAAGACAGCAAATTAGTCCCAATCTTAAAAAAAGGAGACAGACATGCAGCATTAAACTACAGACCAGTGTCACTGAAAATGTATATATGCAAATCATGGAGAAGATATCAGGAGAAGAGTGGTGGAACACCTTAAAAGGAACGATCTCATCAACAGCAGCCAACATGGTTTTCAGGGACGGGAATCCTGTGCACCAAACCTACTGGAGTTCTATGACAGGTGACAGCAGTAAGACAAGAGGGGAGAGGGGTGGGTGGATTGCATATTCTTGGACTGCAAGAAGAGTTTTGACACAGTTCCACACAAGAGATTGGTGCAAAAACTGGAGGACCAAGCAGGATAACGGGGAAGGCACTACAATGGATCAGGGAATACTTGTCGGGAAGACAGCAGCGAGTCATGGTACGGGGCGAGGTGTCAGGGGGCACCTGTGACCACGGGGTCCCACAGGGTCAGTCCTAGGACCAGTGCTGTTTCTGGTATTTGTGAACACTGACGGAAGGAATAGACTCTGAGGGGGTCTCTGTTTACAGATGACGTGAAGTTGATGAGAAGAATTCACTCGATCGAAGACCAGGCAGACTACAAAGGGGTCTGGACAGGGTGCAGACCTGGTCCAGCAATTGGCTCCTGGAGTTCAACCCCACTAAGTGCAAAGTCATGAAGATTGGGAAGGGGAAAGAAGACCGCAGACGGAGTACAGTCTAGGGGGCCAGAGACTACAAACCTCACTCAAGGAAAAAGATCTTGGGTGAGTATAACACCAGGCACATCTCCTGAAGCCCCACATCAACCAAATAACTGCTGCAGCATATGGCGCCTAGCAACCCCCAGAACAGCATTTCCGACATTAATAAGGAATCGTTTCAGGACCCTGTACACCGTGTACGTTAGGCCCATATTGGGGGTATGCGGCACCAGTTGGAACCCACACCTAGCCAACACGTAAAGAAACTAGAGAAAGTGCAAAGGTTTGCAACAAGACTAGTCCAGTGCTAAGAGGTATGTCCTACGAGGAGAGGTTAAGGAAATCAACCTGACGACACTGGAGGACAGGAGAGATAGGGGACATGATAACGACATACAAATTACTGAGAGGAATTGACAAGGTGGACAAAGCAGGATGTTCCAGAGATTGGACACAGTAACAAGGGACACAGTTGGAAAAATGAAGAACAGATGAATCACAGGGAGTTAGGGAAATATTTCTTCAGCCCCAAGTAATCAGTAAGTGGAATAGTTTGGGAAGTGATGTAGTGGAGGCAGGATCCATACATAGCTTTTAAGCAGAGGTATGATAAAGCTCACGGCCAGGGAGAGTGACCTAGTAGCGATCAGTGAAGAAGCGGGCCAGGAGCTCGGACTCGACCCCCCCAACCTCAACTAGGTGAGTAAACTAGGTGATACACACACACACACACACCACACACACACAAAACACACACACACACACACACACACACACACCCCACACACACACACATACACACACACACACACACACACACACACACCACACACACCACACACACACACACACACACACACACACATACACACACACATCAAATCGGATGAGGATCAGGCAGGACTACAAAGAGACCTGGACAGGCTACAAGCCTGGTCCAGCAACTGGCTCCTGAGTTTAACCCCGCCAAATGCAAAGTCATGAAGATTGGGGAAAGGGCAAAGAAGACCGCAGACACATAATAGTTTAGATGGCCAAAGTCTGCAAACCTCACTCAAGGAAAAAGATCTGGGGGGTGAGTATAACACCGGGCATATCTCCTGAGGCGCACATCAATCAGATAACTGCTGCAGCATACGGGCGCCTGGCAAACCTACGGATAGCGTTCCGATACCTCAGTAAGGAGTCGTTCAAGACTCTGTATACCATTTACGTCAGGCCCATACTGGAGTATGCAGCACCAGTTTGGAATCCACACCTAGTCAAGCACGTCAAGAAATTAGAGAAAGTGCAAAGGTTTGCAACAAGACTAGTCCCAGAGCTACGGGGATTGTCCTACGAAGAAAGGTTGAGGGAAATCGGCCTGACGACACTGGAGGCCAGGAGGTCAGGGGAGACATGATAACGACATATAAAATACTGCGCGGAATAGACGAGGTGGACAAAGACGGGATGTTCCAGAGATGGGACACAGACACAAGAGGTCACAATTGGAAGTTGAAGACTCAGATGAATCAAAGGGATGTTAGGAAGTATTTCTTCAGTCATAGAGTAGTCAAGCCGTGGAATAGCCTAGAAAGTGAAGTAGTGGAGGCGGGAAGCATACATAGTTTTAAGGCGAGGTATGATAAAACTCATGGAGCAGGGAGAGAGAGGACCTAGTAGCAATCAGTGAAGAGGCGGGGCCAGGAGCTATGAATCGACCCCTGCAACCACAAATAGGTGAGTACACAGTTCCTGACAAATAAAACACCATCACCACCTTGCATAAGATGTCGATCATTCTAGATCCTCCAGGCATCAACTAACCTCCAGTAACGTGACTGAATTTGACCTCCTTTTTAGTAGTTTAACCCAATCTTACTCAACATAACCTATTATCTAGCTTCCCAAGTCTCTTATAAACCTTATCAGGTCGTAGGTCCGTAATTATGCAGTGCAAGTGACCTTCTGACCTGGTTTGACCTCTCCCGTTGCAGGAGTTCAGTGTGCGTGACCTGGACCAGTTCCTGTACTCAGGTCAGACCCTGGACACCGTCCTCACCCCGGCTGAGAGAGAGTACTGTGTCAGACATGAACTGGATGCCATCAGGGCTAAGCAGGAGGAGGGCCACGTCCCTGGATACCCGGGTATCAAGCTCTTCCCTGGACAGTCCCTTGGTAAGCTGACCCTTCTTCCTCCCCCTTCCACTCCCTACCAGCATCCCCTCCCCCTTCCACTCCCTACCAGCATCCCCTCCCCCTTCCACTACCTACCAGCATCCCCTCCCCCTTCCACTCCCTACCATCATCCCCTCCCTCTTCCCTTTAGGGATTAAAAGCTGTGTGTTGTAGGATTTTCAGTGGGTTAGGATAAGGACTGTGGTTAAGTAACTCGTCACCTAGGATGGTTATCCAGTCATATTCCATGACATAGGATGGTTATCCTGTCATACTCCATGACATAGGATGGTTATCCTGTCATACTCCATGACATAAGATGGTTATCCTGTCATACTCCATCACATAGGATGGTTATCCTGTCATACTCCATCACATAGGATGGTTATCCTGTCATACTCCATCACATAGGATGGTTATCCTGTCATACTCCATCACATAGGATGGTTATCCTGCCATACTCCATCACATAGGATGGTTATCCTGCCATACTCCATCACATAGGATGGTTATCCTGTCATACTCCATCACATAGGATAATTATCCTGTCATTCCAATTTATTTAAAAAAAGTCAATGAAAAAAAGGATAATCAAGGATTTATGAATGCAATTCTACGGACACGTACTAACACATTCGCGTTCGTGCAGTGTACGTGGCTGAGGCGTGCTCTGGGCTCTCCACGAACATGTATTAACCACTTCTTGTACTTGCAGTGGACGTGTACTTGGCTGAGGAGCTGATTTTACAGATGTTTCCACTCCACGACCGTCAAGTACTTGACAGCCTGGCTACCCAATGGTACCGAGCCATCTTCCAGACCGCCCCCTTCCGTAAGTTCCACACCACTTAGTGTTTAAGTGGGCACACTATCCCTAATCTGTTCGTAAGTGGTTCAGGGGACCGGCAAGTTGACAAATTTGACCCTTGTGCCACACTTCTTCGTGTTGAGACTGAGGAAGTTAGTGGCTGGACGAAACGTTTTAAAAAAATGAAATACCCAGGTGCAGTCCGTGTGTGCATCAGTTTCTAGTCTGTGCGTGAGTTACACTGTGATACAAGTTATACTGTGGGAACATGCTACCTTTGTGTCCCATGTTGTGTTTCATCAGGCAGGATGTGTTCCACACGGGAAGTGATGTAATGTGTTATCCTGAGCTGGGAGACTTCACTCTGGTGATGCGGATATCACCACGCCTTTCATTAGTGTTTGTTGGAGAGATGTAGTAGTAGTAGTAGCAGCGACCAGGTGCTACATCACCTTGGGTCTCAAAGTATTAGTACTAGTAATACTAATAATTGTATATATATATATATATATATATATATATATATATATATATATATTATATATATATATATATATATATATATATATATATATATATAAGAGAGAGAGAGAGAGAGAGAGATTAATGAACCCTCTTTCCAGGTATCTTCCTACCAGACATAACACTATCATCTCTGATCTTCTCAAAAGACAAGCAGGAACGTCCGGAAAATAACGTACGACCCCCAGCTCCTTTTACAGGTGATGACCCCAGCTGACCCCAGTGTGACCTAAGTTGGAATGACCTTGTTTGACCTCAACAGAAGCAGTGTGGCGTGGTGTTTAAGCTGAACTGACATGATTTATGTTGGTGTGACCTGTGTTGACCTCAGATGACCTCGCGTGAGGCTGCTCTCAGCCACCCCGAGATGACCTAATCTAAGCCACGATGACCTTGATGTGACTCCTGATGACCTTAAAATATTTACCTTAATATCAGAACCCGATTTGTTTAATCTTGTGTAACCTGACCTAACCTTGTGCAACCTGACCTAAACTTGTGTAACCTGACCTAACCTTGTGTAACCTGACCTAACCTTGTGTAACCTGACCTAACCTTGTGTAACCTGACCTAACCTTGTGTAACTTGACCTAACCTTGTGTAACCTGACCTAACCTTGTGTAACCTGACTTAACCTATGTAACCTAAGCTACCCTAACGCAACGTAACCTAACCTAAAGTAACCTAACGTAACGTAACCTAACCTAAAGTAACCTAACGTAACGTAACCTAACCTAAAGTAATCTAACGTAACGTAACCTAACCTAAAGTAACCTAACCTAACCTAACGTAAGTTAACCTAACCTAATATAACGTAACCTGGTCTAGCCTTAGAATCATCTTTGACCAATAACAAAAAAATCATCCTGGACTTGGAATCATTCAGTGTGATTGTGTCAATGGTCCAGGTCGGTGCAAAACACGTCGTGGTCACGTTCTCTCCTATGTGAGGGTTATTTGTGTATTGTTCCAGTCACAGTATTGTCTTGATGTTCTTAAACTCTGTTGTTCTAAAGTTGTGAGAGTAACACTGTCTTGTCACAGTAACACTGTCTTGTCACAGTAACACTGTAGTGGTGCTGCTATACAGAATATCTTTGCACTGTGGCTTCTCCTCCCAAGAAATACTTTGTGTGGTCAGGGATCAAATGTTTCTCTGTGCTAAGAGAATAACCAGGTGTTGTGTAAGAGTCTGGGTAAAACATCACCAAGCGAGGTTCCACACGGGCGAAACAACTCTCTTGACATCTAGTGTGTGTGTTCGTTGGTAACTCTCGCAGAGATGATCCCTGACACTATAGTGTCGTGTCAATGTTAGTGAGATGATCCCTGACACTATAGTGTCGTGTCAATGTTGGTGAGATGATCCATGACACTACAGTGTCGTGTCAATGTTAGTGAGATGATCTCTGACACTACAGTGTCGTGTCAATGTTGGTGAGATGATCCATGACACTACAGTGTCGTGTCAATGTTGGTGAGATGATCCATGACACTACAGTGTCGTGTCAATGTTGGTGAGATGATCTCTGACACTACAGTGTCGTGTCAATGTTGGTGAGATGATCATGACACTACACGTGTCGTGTCAATGTTGGTGAGATGACCATGACACTACAGTGTCGTGTCAATGTTGGTGAGATGATCCATGACACTACAGTGTCGTGTCAATGTTGGTGAGATGATCCATGACACTACAGTGTCGTGTCAATGTTAGTGAGATGATCCCTGACATATAGTTGTCGTGTCAATGTTAGTGTGAGATGATCACTCTGACACTACAGTGTCGTGTCAATGTTGGTGAGATGATCCCTGACACTATAGTGTCGTGTCAATGTTGGTGAGATGATCTCTGACACTATAGTGTCGTGTCAATGTTGGTGAGATGATCCCTGACACTATAGTGTCGTGTCAATGTTAGTGAGATGATCCCTGACACTATAGTGTCGTGTCAATGTTAGTGAGATGATCCATGACACTACAGTGTCGTGTCAATGTTGGTGAGATGATCCCTGACACTATAGTGTCGTGTCAATGTTAGTGAGATGATCCCTGACACTATAGTGTCGTGTCAATGTTAGTGAGATGATCCATGACACTACAGTGTCGTGTCAATGTTGGTGAGATGATCTCTGACACTATAGTGTCGTGTCATGGTTCAAGTGTTAACTACCCAACACTACCAGCGCCTCTCTGATCTCTAGCATCTTTCATTACTGTTTTGGGCGAAATTACGTATTTGTGCGTCGTATGAAGACAAACAAACGTGTTGGAGAACTAGCCTCTTGCTGGGGCAGTGTTCCCTCAGTGTGTTTAGAGCTTGAAGTCATACCGGGGTACTTGTATGTATGTCTGACATGAATATGTTTGTATATCATGCAAGGAGAAAGATCTTCCTGTTTAAGGGTGGGTAGGGTGGTTGAGGGTGGGTAGGGTGGTAGAGGGTGGAAGGGAAGGAGAAGGGTTTGTCTGTCAGCCTGTCTATCTGTCGTGGTTTCTGCGTGTAATCCAGAGGTGTACTTAAGTCACTATTAGAGAGGTTTTCCTTGTTTGTCCCTTCTCTGCCTCTCTCCTCCCTCCTCTCCCTCCTTCTCTCCCTCCCTCCTTCTCAGTACCTTAAGGCCAACAGGTAATATAGACAACCTACTTAAGTCCTAAGGGATGATGAGTTGGTGCTGGTGTTGGTGCTGGTGTTGGTGCTGGTGTTGGTGCTGGTGTTGGTGCTGGTGTTGGTGCTGGTGTTGGTGCTGGTGTTGGTGCTGGTGTTGGTGTGGTGTTGGTGCTGGTGTTGGTGCTGGTGTTGGTGCTGGTGTTGGTGCTGGTGTTGTGCTGGTGTGGTGCTGGTGTTGGTGCTGGTGTGGGTTGGTGTTGGTGCTGGTGTTGGTGCTGGTGTTGGTGCTGGTGTTGGTGCTGGTGTTGGTGCTGGTGTTGGTGCTGGTGTTGGTGCTGGTGTGGTGCTGGGTTGGTGCTGGTGTTGGTGCTGGTGTTGGTGCTGGTGTTGGTGCTGGTGTTGGTGCTGGTGTTGGTGCTGGTGAGGGTGCTGGTGTTGGTGCTGGTGTTGGTGCTGGTGTTGGTGCTGGTGTTGGTGTGGTGTTGGTGGGTGTTGGTGCTGGTGTTGGTGCTGGTGTTGGTGCTGGTTGGTTAGGGTGCTGGTGTTGGTGGTGGTGTTGGTTGCTGGTGTTGGTGCTGGTGTTGGTGCTGGTGTTGGTGCTGGTGTTGGTGCTGGTGTTGGTGCTGGTGTGGTGCTGGTGTTGGTGCTGGTGTTGGTGCTGGTGTTGGTGCTGGTGTTTGGTGCTGGTGTTGGTGCTGGTGTTGGTGCTGGTGTGGTGCTGGTGTTGGTGCTGGTGTTGGTGCTGGTGAGGGTGCTGGGTTGGTGTGGTGTTGGTGCTGGTGTTGGTGCTGGTGTTGGTGCTGGTGTTGGTGCTGGTGTTGGTGCTGGTGTTGGTGCTGGTGTTGGTGCTGGTGTTGGTGCTGGGTGAGGGTGTGGTGTTAGGTGCTGGTGTTGGTGCTGGTGTTGGTGCTGGTGTTGGTGCTGGTGTTAGGGTGCTGGTGTTGGTGCTGGTGTTGGTGCTGGTGAGGGTGCTGGTGTTGGTGCTGGTGTTGGTGCTGGTGTTGGTGCTGGTGTTGGTGCTGGTGTTGGTGCTGGTGTTTGGTGCTGGTGAGTGGTGGTGTAGGTGCTGGTGTTGGTGCTGGTGTTGGTGCTGGTGGGTGCTGGTGTTGGTGCTGGTGTTGGTGCTGGTGCTGTGCTGGTAGGGTGCTGGTGTTGGTGCTGGATGTTGGTGCTGGTGTTGGTGTGGTGTTGGTGCTGGTGGGTGCTGGGTTGCTGGCTGGTGTTGGGTGCTGGTGTTGGTGCTGGTGTTGGTGAGGGTGTGGTGTTCGTGCTGGTGTTGGTGCTGGTGAGGGTGCTGGTGTTGGTGCTGGTGTTGGGCTGGTGTTGGTGCTGGTGTTGGTGCTGGTGTGTGTTGGTGCTGGTTGTTGGTGCTGGTGTGTGGTGCTGGTGTTGGTGCTGGTGTTGGTGTGGTGTTGGTGAGGGCTGGTGTTGGTGCTGGTGTTGTCGGTGCTGGTGTGGGGGCTGGTGTTGGGCTGGTGTTGGTGCTGGTGTTTGGTGCTGGTGTTGGCTGGTGTTGGTGCTTGGTGTTGGTGCTGGTGTGGTACTGGTGTGGTGCTGTGTGTTGGTGCTGGTGTTGGTGCTGGTGTTGGTGCTGGTGTTGGTGCTGGTGTTGGTGTGGTGTTGGTGCTGGTGTTTGGTGCTGGTGTTGGTGCTGGTGTTGGTGCTGGTGTTGGTGGCTGTGTTGTGCGTTGGTGCTGGTGTTGGTGCTGGTGTTGGTGCTGGTGTTGGTGCTGGTGTTGGTGCTGGGTTGGTGTTGGTGCTGTGTTGGCTGTGTTGGCGTGGTTGGGTCTGGTGTTGGTGCTGGTGTTGGTGCTGTGTTGTGCTGGTGTTGGTGCTGTGTTGGTGCTGGTGGGGTGCTGGTGTTGGTGCTGGTGTTGGTGCTGGGTTGTGG